CCCCGCATTCACTCTCTATCGAAAAAAAAAGCATTCGGAAAGTAGCTCGAATAAGCGCAAATGCCAGCAGCAACCAGTCACAAAGCCAACTATACCAAGCCCTTCATCCCTGTGCTCGCTGTTACCGCAAATTTAGCATTTCTGAATCGAGCATAAATTTTTGGTGCAAATCAGGACCCGAATAACTGCAGTCCCGTCCAAATGCGCTCTCACCCACCAAATTCGATATTTCTCTTGGGTGGATTCTGCACTTCTCTGATTCGGTCTACATCGGTCCACTCAAATCCACATATTTTCTTTAGGTCCAAGATTCTAAGCGTAAAAAACTAGAGCTTACACATCTCCCGTTCGGATATGTCGAACAGCTATTTTATCGTTTTGCTTATAAATCAGTTACTTTTTTTATGCGTTTTTTGCAACTATGCAATCCAGAAAACGCATACTGACGAGGGGCTGTCTGTGTGTGTGTGTTTGTGTCTGTGTGTTCGTCTTTACCGATTTTTCATCTCGAGACCTACGAAAGCTACGGGGCTGAATTTTTGGGAACTTAATCTGCATGCATGTGTGGGTCTCCACCCCCCAAAATGGCCGCTCTTACCCACGTGGTACCCATGTACGAGCCCGCCAAAGTTTTTTACGGGCAAGCTCCTAAATTGGGAGCCAGAAACGCTGGGAGGCTGAAATTTTAGGGGGATGTTCCCCGTCCAAGTAGGTATTAATGAGCTCAAACCCAGCCCCCGGCGAAGTGTGGCACCCACGTACGGGCCCGCCAAAATTTTTTTTCGGGCAAGTCGCTAACTCGGGAATCTGAGAAGCTAGAAGACTAGAATTTTGAAGGGATGTTTCCTAACAGTCCTGACGGCCAGCCTGAAATTCTCTTAGCTAGAAGCATCTGCTGGAAATCTACTGAAATTCTTTTAGCTAGAAGCATCTGCTGCCGTTAGCGAAAAAATCTGCGGGGAGCTATGCAAAAAGCACATCTTTGTACGAGCATCCCGAGCGTTGGCCAATTATTTAATATTTTCTAGTATTTCTTTACTTTGCCATAACTTTCCAACTCCTATTCGTCCTTTCCGACAACTCACAAGCAAGCTGGTGGCGAGTTTGACTCCTTGAGGCTATGCCAGTACCAATTTTACCATTGAAACGAATGAACACATCATAGAGGGACTGTCTGTTCCAACGGTGGAGTCGAACCTTCTATCTACTGTAGGACTGTTTGTTCCAACGCCGGAGTCGAACTCCCTACCCAATGCACAACAACAGTGCTACCCCACTACGCCATGTCGGCCAGTAACGACAAACTATAAATTATAAAAATCAATTAAAGAAATGTTTCGGTCCATTAAGTCGCATACATTCCTACCAAGCACCACAACTGGACCTCGTCAGTGCGGCAGTGCCGCTCAGTGCGCTATCCTGACGATGCTTGTCACTGTTAATGTTGCGCCTGTGTACTTTACACCCTTAGCTAACTGTACAGTAGTTTCTAAAGCAATGACTGCTGTAAAACCCACTTTTTTCATCGTCCAACTCTTCAAGTTCGGTACCGTAGAATACAGCCATGATTTTGTTTCGAGTACAGCTTCTGCTAACAACCACTTCCTTGCCACTCGTCGGCTTTTCTCCGTTCCAAATGGGAAAACAAAATTCGTAAAACTAAAATCCAGAAAAATATCACTATTTTATGCGTACCGTCACCAAATCCAGTTCAGATCTTAC